CCCGAAGCCAACAGTGAGGCATAGCGGTTTGTTCAAATACTAACCAAGGCCATTAAGGCTCTGCTTATCCAGGGAAGAGGTTGGTTGCTGGGCATGGATGGACTTCTTGATGTGCTACCGAGCAACCCCACATGCCACCATCTAATATATCTCCGTACGAACTTCTCTTCGGCAGGTAGATGCAAACGATGCTACCACGATCCCCAAGCAATGGAGTGAACCAGGACTTCAATGTGCGTCAATATGACAAGGCCGCAAAAAAAGGAAATTTAAGCAATACATTGACGAGCCAAGACATACTCGACAACACTCATTGAAACACGAGGATATAGTATTGTGCAAACAAAAAAAGCAGAACAAACTAACTCCATACTTCGACCCAAACCCGTACGTGGTGACAAAGGTTCAAGGATCGAAGATCACTGCGAGACGGCGAGAAAGAGACATCACTCGAAACGCAAGTTTCTTTAAAAAGATACACGCTGATCTCAAGTGGAACGAGAAAGAGGACGATGACGATGACGATCTCCCTCCTCCAACTGAAGACACCCCAGAGCAAGCAGGATAAAACATCGGAACGACTGGACAAGACGACCGTCAAGAGACAGCCAGTCAATACCCTGCCAGAGCTTAAAGAGGGCTCAAGACCCCACGCTACCGGAACTGACAGTGAACTGTTGAACATCATTTGTATTTCATTTTTTACCTTCTTCTTTTTTTTTCAACACCACGCCTAAGTTGTTGCTTCAGTCATTAGGTACGGGGAATGAGGGGAATCGGTAACCGAGTGGGCTAGCGCACACCAGTTCGGAGCACGTGAAGCGAAAGCTCGCACTGCAGAACCCAGGGATGCTAGGTTCAATTATTAGCGATGTGCGCGGCCAAAAGCGTCGCTGTGGTCAGCTTTCCACCATTGGCCAAACCATCGGATATGAGCACTGTCAGATTGTCAACTTTGACGGTGTTAGTTTCGGATTGCGATGGCTCCTAGCTTCCACTGTGCTTTTTAAGCGCACCATCGAACTCGTCGTCGCACCCGATGGTAAGTGGCCAGAATAACAACTGGTGACGTCACGGCGAGGCAAATCCCAGTCGTGACGTCACGGAGGGAAACCATAAGAAGGCGACACCGAAACAACTCGGCGCTCATAGCCACTAAATGAGCGTAGCTTATTTAGTGGCACTCGGTTCAATTCCCACCCCTAGAGCCATTATATGAGCTGCGCCTGAGTATGGGCACTCCGTTCCCGACATTGTTGTGGGCGCCGCCATTTTGGCTCGTATGCAGAGCAGGCGCAACTGCCGATCGTCATGATTCGAAAGTGCGACTTCCTCAGCCTTAGATTCGCTGTTAGGAAGGTCATGCAATATTGCTTTGCCCTGTCGCGAACTGTTTAAACATTTGTGGAGGACGGAAAATCGTTTCCTAACATTTCAGATAAAGATTCAGATAACTGGTAACCATGATTTTAAGACACCATATGGCCAAGTGTCGTTACTCTGAAGCGTAGCTTATGCAGTGGCACTAGATCTTAGGAAACGCTTTTCCGCCCTCCACAGATGTTTCAAAAGTTCGCGACAGAGCAAAGCAATATTACATGAGCTTCCTAACATCGAATCTAAGGCTGAGGAAGTCGCACTTTTGAATCATGACGATCGGCAGTTGCGTCGTCTCTGCATATGCGCCAAAATTGCGGCGCCCACAACAATGCCGGAGAAGGGAGTGCCGATACTCTAAGCGCAGCTCATTTAGTGGCTCTAATGGCGTCCAGTGAATAACCTTGATCACTACAACTTTCTAACCTAATCGTAAGAAACAAAAACAAAAACAAAAAAAACCCTGTTTTATCGCTCGTGAAGCAGAGTGCTTTTAAGGGGTTCTCAGAAACTAGTCCTTCATCGGACAGAGTCATGTCCGTCACGGACATGACTCTGTCTGTTTCGAAAAAAAAAAAAAAGGAATTTTAAACTGGGCCGGTGCTCAGTCCGCGCAGGTATGTTGGCAAAAGACGGTGCCACGAGTAATTAGGCAGGCCCTATCAGGGGGAGGAGGAAGAAGGGAGAGAGAGAGAGAAGGGAAGGGCAGAAGAGACTCCCGCACCACTGCCCCGGTGCACCGGGCGGTCTGCCAGCCCGAGGCGCAATGACGGCAGTGCAGGCGCGCCCAAAAATGTCCTCCCGCTCTTCACCACTGTAGCCCGAATTCCGAGGCCCGCGCGACGACTGACTTTCGGAAATAGTAAATCTCTCCCTCCTTTCCCCTCCGTTCTGCAACCATTAAGATCAAAATAAAAAGATAACCACGTGCAGCGGGATGCTAAAACTGGATGTACAAGCGGCGAGCTCGCAGATGGGGGGGAGACACTTTGCGCCATCTGTCGGCTGGTGATTTTCATTTTGGTCTAATGAGGATAAGAGGGGGATGCACGGCAGGTAAGCTTGAAGTGGGAACAAACTCTCATAAGCACTGGCGTCACAAAATAAATAAAGAAATGAAGATCACCCTTAAAGGGCACACATACACGCGCGCGCCCACACACACCGACGTACAGACACATGCACACGTTGAAGGCGATGCACATGCACATACCAGGAAAAACAACCGGACGTTGTTCTTGGCTATTCTTTGCGAGTCCCCGGAGACTCGCAAAGAATAGGCCGGTTCCATCTTGAGTGTTTGGGCGTATGACGCGCGATTTGCTCGCGTTACAGAGCAAGGCACACGCGCCAGCTGGGCTGGATGTCGCACGCTGGGCTGTGCATATTCTGAATATAGAAACAGCTCGGGAGTCTGACAATGATGCAATGTAACAATCAAAGGACCCCAGCACTGCTTGTGTGTCATCTGCTCAGAAGCCACGAAGCCGTTTTGTGTTATCGTTAGTCTCACAGTAGATGAAAAAGCGGGACAGAAGCTCAGGCCGTCTAAATAGCTACTCGCATAAACAGGGCTGGTGCGAATACAGAGTAGGTCGTGACGTCGTCACACCGTGCTGGTGATCATTTCTACTTGTCCTTGCCGAGAAAAAACAATTCGGTGGTGCGAACGTACGCGCTCAGCATGCAAGGCTAACACAGTGGCGGCTGAAGTGACGTCAGTACTCAAGAAACTAGGGCGAGGGAAAGGAAGGCCGGGGAGGAGGAAGTAGACAGAACGCTAAAGTTGGCTAAAGAGAGAAAGAGGTTTCCCCCTCTCCTCTCCAGCGTTCCGTCTGCTTCCTCCTCCCCGGCCTTCCTTTCCCTCGCCCTACCTTCACGAGCGTGACTCCAATTCATTATAGGTGGCGCCACTCGTTTTCCAAAATGGCGGTTATAGTGAGTGTCGGAGATGCTATCCTGAAAATAGAAACGGTGTTTAGCGAAAACAAAACCAAAACTAACCTCAATTTTGGATTTAATTCCTCGGCATAGGTGTTAATTTCGGATTCTTTCATAACTCAGAATGTTTCTCGCTGCTTAATTATGGAGCTAAAGAAGTTATTGGCCGCGCCACAACTAGTGACGCGGAGTATAGATTAGCTCAGTCAAGGAACCGCTCACGGACGCTGCTTGTACGAGAAGCGTCTATGAGCCTCCCTCGCCACGGCTTGCCTCCCGTCATTCGACGCGCCGGACGGTCTCTATGGAAACTGCCGTGTATTCTATGCAATACGTACGCTTCGAAGCACAGCCGTTTAGATGACGTTCCACCGTACTCTATGGAACACGCAGTTATGAAACGAATATCCAGACGGCGCTTCAAACGACGGTTGGCGGATTGAAGTGAGTCCGGGGGGTACCCCCTTCCGCGGGAGTTCCACAACTGAGGTAATCTAGCAACATTGGTACTGACAGACTGCCCATACGAAAGTGAATTCGTGACGCGCGTTTGAACCCGTGTTGTCGAAGTCTTACAAGCTGTCAAAATCAAAAAGACTGGGTAAGTCGCGCAAGCCGCCTCGCGATTCGAAGAGTGTACGCATTCCCTCGTCCAGCCGCACGCTCCACTGACGTCACCTTGTTAGCTGAAGGGTGTAGTAATGTAAATGAGAAGCAAGACATAGTTGCCAGAACAAAATGTTTAATATTTTTGAGAAAATTGCATTTTAAAAATATTCCAATACATGTCAAAGCTTGTTCACATATTACACTCTCGAATGTACACCATGCAGGATGCAGCGCGACAAAAATAACATATATAAGCGACTCTGGAAGACTCGTTGCGTCAGATGGTAGAACCCCCAAATTGCCACCCGCAAAAATATTTATATATATTTTTATATATCTGTATGGCACCAACATTAGCCCGATGATTCTACGTAAGCGGCCCTTCGACCATTCGCTGCCGACCACGCCTTTGACGCGCCCGCACGTTCGAACAGCGTGGTCGGACGTGGCGCTGTGGAGTGACGGCCGACAGCTTTAATGAATACAGCGAGACTGAGAGGGAACCGTTTTTGAGCGGATCGATTTGCCTCGGTGAAGCAAATGACTTAGCGTACACGAGCAAACAAACAACTCCTGGAGGCGTGTCTTTGGAAAGCCCGGCCTCCAGCTCGCGCTCCATGCCTTGTGCCGGGCTTCGGACGCGCCAGCGCGCGCTCCAGGTGCTGGAGACGTCTCCACCGATGGCAGGGAGCTCGCGCTGGGGGCGGGCTACTCAAGTCCCTCCCTGTCTCACCTCCTCAGTGACTGTAAGCAGTACCACCTAGAAGACAAGGCCTTCCCCCACACACACAACGACATCAGTAGTGGTCCACCACTCAACGCCGCCTAGCTTGCGTCAGCACCATCGATAGAGCGTCTTGCAGCATCTCACAACGACGTTAGCACGCGTCGACGCTAAGACGGACGGTTTTCGTCGAGCTTCAGCGTGTTTGCCGCTTGAGGCGGGTCAGGACGCACGATGGCGTCATGAGCGGGCCTTGTCTTCTAGGCGGCTATAGAAGATGCCTTATGTCACGTTAATCTCAACGGTCTATGGCCTCGGTGGTCCCGGAGGACTCAACGATCTTCGGTCTGTGGCGGGCTGATGGACTTGAAGTGGGACGAAAACTCTCGCGTGCTGCTTTCCGCTGGGGCGTCGGCCTCGGTGGTGCCGTCAAGGAGCCAGCCGACGAGGTCCTCCCGGCGACGGCTCAGCGGGAGATCTGCGCGAGGCGCTCCTTGCCCCGGCACTTGGCAGACGTGCCGGGGCGGACGGGCAGCGCGGCCCAGGCGTCGCTCAGCAGGTCGTACTTGGCGGCCAGGCGCGGGAATCGGCTGAACGCGTGGTCCACCAGGAAGGCCTTGACCAGCAGCAGCGTGCCTGCGCACAGGTGGAGGCAGACCACAGAAGAGTCGGTGACTTGCGGAGATATCTACGCCACGATGCTGTGCCCCGAACATGTCTGAAGACAGTTCTCGTATGACCAATGCGGCCGCCAAACAAAGAAGAAACCTGCCTCAGTCAGTGTCTCCAGACTGTCTTTTGCGTGATTATTAGAACGTGTGACCACGGATTATAACTGCCCTTGCCAGCCGGGCTACACCCATAGATCCCTACGCAGAACTCTCTTTACCCCCAAGCTGACAATGCGGTGGAAGCAAATGGTCGTTGGACCAGGTACTACCTTTCGTCATGTGATCGCGCCCTTTCCAATACCCATGCGCAGAGTCAGGTGATTAAACGGAGCTTAAGGGTGAACGGAGCCTAAACAAACCACCGTCTTGCCGTCATAGCAGGGGCGTGGGTGATGGCGCCCACGGCAACTAGATTTGATTCGAAAGCATTAACTGTTCCATGGAGCGAGCCGACGTCATCAGCTTTGAAGCTGATGATGCCAGTGCTTGCAGTCGAATCTCAAAGTTAGCCCCTCGCAACATAGTAGGACGTAGTCCAGCTACTTACGGTACACGCTTAAATCCCTAAAAACAATCATCAACCATTTTTTTTTTTTTTTTTGCAATCTTGAAGTTTGACGCGCGGTTATATTTTTAATTACCTCTTGGCACCGAGTACGCAGACCCGTGAAAAAAAAGAAAAAAAGAAAAGAACGCACCGCCTTATTTTGGTAGCCAATAATTTCGGTCGAGTTAAAGGAGTGTTTTGGTTGGCGTGGCTACCTCTAACAAAACAGCGCTGTCAAGGCAAGCTGATCAGTTCCCTCCCATACCCACCTCGTTTTTTGTTTTGTTTTTTTAACGAGCGTGAGTTATGGGAGGCAGAAGCAGGGGATTCAACGGAGCGCACTTAGTGCCGACAAAGGCTCGCGAAGAAACACCGGTCACGAAACGTGTGTTTTGAGGAACGGACCCTGAGGGAAATCGGCCAGGGTGAATCATCCGAGTCCAAACAGGAAGGCCAAACTGAAATTGTTTCTCGGTACGGCTCGGTTGCGGCAGTTCAGCTAAAAATAACGCTTCGGTTTTCGGTTCAGTTCCGGTTCGACACTCTGGTCGTAATCGCAGCAACGCTTCCTCGCGTTCTCTAAACGCGCTCGCCTTCTATCGCCGTCACCAGAATGATGGTGCCACTTACCTACTCCGGTAAATAGCTCAGGGGAAGCTAATCCCGCAAAGACCTCCCTCTATTCACTTTAGCAGAGCGAACGCTGGAGAGGAGGTCGACGTTTATACAGGTAACGACTATCAACACGCCTGACGTAGCAAGAAGAACCATGGTCTCTTCCAGGATATTTCTGCTAGTTACAAGTAGCCATGTTTCGCTTACAACGTGCACCGTCACGTCAGCCGGTGGCGTAAAGAACGTCGCCATGTGCGAGGTGCACGTGTTTTCATCGATCTGCAACTTCTCTCTGGTACGGGCTCTGTTGGTCGCCACTCGCGGTACCTGTTCCAGTTTAAGGTGCCGAGCACGCAACAAATGAATGACAAACCCACCATCGCATGTGTTTTGCGCAGAGTCGACGCCCTCTTATTCGAGCATAGAGCTCATGTAACAAAAAAAAAAAAAAAAAAAAAACAGCTTCGCGCTTTGAACGCTTTATCCGTTTTATACACAGGGCGTTTGATTTTAATGCAAAAAGATCCGTTCTTAAAAAAAGCGGCGAAAGGCAGAATAACACGGTCTGTACATGTGAAGGTCACGATAATCGAAATCCGTGCCAGCGGTCCTGCTCCTCGGTCACCGAGGAGCAGGACCGATGGCACGGATTCGCTCCGGTAAGAAACCTAAACCTAACAGCGCGTCCAAATTGACCTTTTTTTTTTTGTTTGTTTGTTTGCTTTTGGAACGCCGTGAAACGTTGCCTTGGCCTCATATATTTTTTTGTTGTTCTAAAATGAGTGAATGTAGTGGTTTTCGAAGATAATTAACAAGTTTGTTATTGCAACCATATGTTTATTTTCACCAATTAAAAGTGTTTAGCGAAATATATAACTAACGACGTTGCACTTACGCCCAAGAGTGCTTGCCCAAAATGGCCTCGAATAATTAAGATTGAAGCTGCTAGATGCCATAAACATTTGAAAGGGGTTCTCAATTAAGGGCCTTTTTCAATGTCCCTGTTAAGAAGGCCCTTGTTTTCTTCAAATTCAAACTCATTTGTATAAATGAGTTTGAACTTTTGAAACGCGGGCTCAGCAGATAGGGTTATTAGGGTTTTTGTGGCTATATAACGTGTGAAGTTTCAATAAACTTTAGTTAAAAGTGCGCCTTGTCCTGTTTCCCTTCGTCTGTGTCCTTGTGTTGGCTTTTTTTTTTTTTGTGACAGGGTACTAATCATGCCGATGTTGTTTTTTTTAACATGACCTATGAGAGCCCAACTATCCAGAACCCAATTTGCGGCTCTAAATTCGTATTCCTTACGCCTGAAAGCCGCCGGTCGAGAATCCGCCCTTTTAGGAAATCACGGGCTCGATATTTTTGGGCAAAGAACGCGCGTGCACACCACGAGAGCTCACACGAGATTTCTCTTGAAAAGCATGCCATGGTTGCTCGTGAATCCATGGAACGCGAACATGTCTTTTCATGCCAGAGACTCTGGAGTTATGATTTCGAAAGAGGTAGATTGGCCGGTTTCAGGCGTGCTCGCTCTCTTTACCGTGGTCACGTGCCGTCCGAACTGTTGCATACCAAATATGTTCGGTCGTGGGTCATCTGTAGTCGGTTACAAGTCAAGAAGGTAGGAGAAGCTCCTACCACAAGTGTGATGCGCCCGTTTCAAATCTCTCCGCAGTCGAAAGAAGAGTTCACTGGAAACGCTTCTTGTTCCGCTTCAATGGATTCCAACTTGTCTCCGATCCCACTTTTTAAGAAAGCGACCTTCGTATTCATCGGAGAGGAAACCGAGCCCCTGAGAGAAGCCTTTGTATCCGTAGGGGGGGGGAAGCTAATTCCCAAAAGTCGTATTTGTTTCCGTCGGTGGGGGAGAACTCTAATTTCCCTCTCGTGGCTTCCACAAGGCTAAGTCAAAGTCGAAAGATAAAGCAATTATGTACAGAAAGGCAAGACCCTCCTCGCGCGTTGGCCGCGACGTCACGGAAACGGTGGGACGCTATTGGATGAGGAGGTGGCGGAGGGATATCCGATTCCCTTTGAGAAGCATTTGCCGCTACCTTCTTGAGCTGTAACTGACTATAGGCACACATTCAATATTCAGAATAGAAAAGAATATGAACCCCATTTCTTGTGGATTCAAAAAAAGCTGCACATACGTTGATCAAAAAAAAAAAAAGAGAAATGTTGCACGGATCACAGAAAGTACGTGTACGCGTCATTCTCAATCCACGATTTGTAAAATAGTGCGCGCCGCCTATCGCGCAACGCCAGAAACTTCAACATTTTGGGTGCGAGGCTGGAAAGTGGTTGGAATACAACTAGGCTTTGCGATGCATGGTTTGGCTTGATACATGTGGGGCGTAAAGTTTGTGCACGCAGTCTGTTCCCAGCGTTGCCTCGAGACCCAGATTGAATAGTGCGGAAAATTCCCCAGGAACGTACAAAATCGACGTACCCGTGACAAAATTTGCGCTACAGATCCGGCTGTGCTCGTTCAGCTGCCATGGTGAGCCGATTGTCTTCTTTCTCCTTACGGCAGCTATCCAAGCCTCTCTCTCCGCAAGATAGAGTAACTTGGCGTTCTCTTTACCGTAAAAGTAATTCGCGCAACCGTATACGCAACAGATTGCGCCGGCATGGCGACAAACAAGGCGACTCGCGAGCTCTCTTCGTCCTCGCTTCCGCACCTCTGTCGTAGCCTAGGAATAGACTGCACGCTTATTTGTTTTCCAACCAAACAGGGGGCGCAAGCAACACGCTCTGCTGGCGCATGCGCATGTGCTTTTTTGCAAATCGTGGATTAGGCGACGCACCGCGGGCTGGACCAAGCGATGGCGGCTCACGACGCAGCAACCTTGCGACGGACGTGGGACCGCTACTTTGAAACTGTGGTTCGTGGTACCGGCCAATCGATCTTCGTGCACAAAACAGCGAGGGGAAGGCATATAATTGCGAAATAATCGCACGGAAAACGGTTCAAGCAACGTCTTCGTTGTCGCCGTCTGCTTCATACGCCCAAGAAGCAGAGGAACGAAAAAAAAAGGAAAAAAAAAGGGATTACTTTTCGCTAACGGGATTAGGGAATAGGAAATCTAACCGGATTTCTTGTTGGAAACCTGAAATCCAGTTAGATTTCCTGTTTTTTCGGAAGAGAAGGGAGTAGTAGCCACGTGACTTCTGGCAACCCTCTCCTTTGAACCTCCTTGCACGTGTTTTGGTTTCGTTTTCGAGCAGTTCCGTTTTTTCACTTTTAAGAATATACGCGACTTTGTAGCAAAATATTGATTAAGGGGGCACACTCCCTAGGGGGGTCAACTTTTGAACCCTTGTTTTAAAATTAATGAAATTTACAGGGTAGGCTGGTGGTCATGCTAGAGGGTGTATGACAAAATTTCAAGTCTGTCGGTTAAATGAGAAGGAAATAAGAGTAGCTTCTATCAGCAACACGCCTACGTTGTTTAGTTAATCTATCGTCAGAAAACTATTGCGATATTAAAGATTTTTATTTGCTAGATATGTAACAGAATGCCTAGAGGGTGCGGCTATGGAACATTTTTTCTAAAAAGTAATTCATTTCTATAAATTTTCTCTTCTGCAAAATTGGTCAACTTTTTGGTCTTCTGTGCCTTCGACAAAATGTCAACATTTTTTACAAAAGACATCCTTAAAGTGACAAAAAAGTTCCATAGCCGCACTCCTTATTAAATTTCAGTCAGGAAAAAGGAAGAATGAGCCTTCCCTGTTTTGCCATTATCAAACAATAGATTGACTAAAATGGAATTTATACCAAAAAGTGGAACGGAGAAAAATGTGTTCAAAATGCTCCAAACCCTACCTTTTCTATAGCTTTGGTGGACAGAAAATAATTTATAAAAAATTAACTATACAGTGAAAATTAATGAAACTTTTTGGGAATACTCTCTAGATGTTGGTGGATGTAAAGATGTCATTTTCAAAATCAACTTTTTTTGCAGAATTTTTTTTTTCTGGGCAGTGTCTCCCCTTAAGTAGTCTTCTAACACCATAACTAAATCACGTGGGAAAAAAAGGGGGGGGGGTGTTAATGTTAAACGCCAGTAATTTTTGAGAGCTTGTCGTATATATAACGAAATGCAGATCCTTACCTTAAAGACATTTATCCTTTTAAAATGGTTTTGTTAGAAACGAAGCAACTTCTAAGGCCTTAAGCGTCGCGAATCCAGAAGAAGCGTGAGCCTCGGGTCGAAACTTGGTGGACGCTTCCATGAGCCGAGGAACGAAGTGTTTTCGGGAAATCAACTTTTTCTTCACGGCGCACGGCAAGGTGGACTCACCTAAAATGCGGAAGGCACCAGCAGAGCCCACGACTTCGGCGACGAAGAACGTGGCGAGAAGGAAGGCCAGCAGGCACAGCGTGATCTTGGGATTCCGCCAAGTCGCCAGACTGCAAGAGGGAACAAGTCCATTCCATACATATATTTCAAATTCATTCGCAAACCCAGCAGTACTTTTAGATGTCTATATGCCTTGTTACAGGCTAAGGGAAGCAGCATACGCAGAGCTATTCCCTCTTTCCACTTCGCCGAGCGAACGCTGGAGAGGGGTCCCTTCTCGCTTCCTTTCGTTTCCTCTCCAGCCTTCGCTCTGCCGAGTGGAGGGCTTCGCGGCAGGAGCTTGCGCTGCTTTTCTTAACTTGCAACAGGGTAAGGTTACAGGTACTCACAAAAATAAAAATAAGTCGCATAGCAATTACTTTTTCCGATGTGCCACGAAGTCGAGGTGTGCTGCGATTACTGATCAAAGGTTTTTTTTCATACTCTAGAAAATATAAAAACATTTATTCGAAATTCGTAAAAAAAAAGCTAGTAAAATAAAAAGATAAAACATGTCGAACGTAGTGTCTTGTTCACACCTGCCTTCCACGTGTCCGTTTTTTGTTTTTTTTTTGTTTTACAACATATTGATTTATGGCAGAGATTGTGATAGTGTCCGGAACGTAACAGATAGTAGGTATACCACGGTGGCTAAACATTAAATATCATTTGGGGGGGACTGAATGAATTACGTTAAAATCACTGTAAAATTGTAACTAAGTTACTGTTTTCTTAATGTATTTATTCTTGGGGCACTCAAACGCTTTTTTTAGACGCTTGTTTTTGATGGCTTAGAACTGGTCAATAGAAATGACCAGTTCTAGATGGGAAAATTGCTAAACTCACAGCAATAAAAATACACGGGTACTATTTTCTTTTAAAAGGGGGGGGGGGACATTTTCGGCTACCCCACCACCTCCATAAAATTTGACCAATGATAATAGTCAATTGCGTGGAGATTCCGAACGTTACATGGCTCTTTTTAGGTACGTGCATTCTAGTTTCAGAAAAACGGCAATAATTGCTGTAATACAGCAATTATTGATTGAAAAGACGTCCGACGGCGCCCTCTGGTGTCTGTTCCAAGGCGCAGAAAAAGGGGCGTATCGCGGTCTTTAATGCAATTTTTAATAGTGAAATCGGCCGCCTATGAGTGCATTTCGGGATATTAGTATGCTTAGAGCCAGTAGATTGAGTTATCATCATTATTAGACGATCTCAAAATCCACTTGAGTACCCCTTTAATATTGGCACTCCATTCAAGAAATGCAAGAACAGTGACACCTAAAAATCAGTGCCCAAGGCGAAATTGTAAATAAAAGTGCGGTCACCTGGGAATTAAATGCGCGAAGAAAAAACAATGGAATGAAAGTCATACGACATCGTGGATATCAATTGAGGACTGTACATTAGCAACAATATTATTTCGGAAACTCTCGTACGGTAAAACGTAGTATAACGTCGTTTAAAAAGGCCGCAGAAAAAAAATTAAAACAACACATAAGGTGGAATCTCAGCAAAGATAGAAAAGTGGCAAACAAACTTACCTGACGATCTTGTCGAATACGTCAGATGCTTCCTGAAAACTTTTCTGTGAAAAGAAAAAAAAAGCTGTTTAACATTTTAAATGTCATCAGCATACACGCAAAGGCCCAGTCATATTTGCTGCACGGAAGAAAGTCCACCAAAAAGAAAGCGTTTGCTGTCGCTCAAGTCGAGAGGAATTTGACCAGCACAGCCAGGTGTGTAAACTGAGGTTCTTTAACGTGCTCCTCAGCAGCGTTACGTACAGGCTAGCCATGCATGGTACAGAACCTCCCGTAAACGCGTCAAGGCCGGTGTGATTAGTGCTTTCGATCGCATACGCATCTACGCGATGCCAGAAACCCTGCCGATTGCTTGGGCCTCTGCCACCGCATCCAACGACACGCAACCGCCAGCACCGTTAGGGTAAAGCGCGAAACACATGTACGACGAAAACTTCCGATCCGACGTGCGGACTGCCGGAATGACCTTGGGGGGAGAGGGTTTTCGTAGCATCGGAAAGCGTTGAAAACCCTCGCCTCCGACCGTCGTATTGAGCGGTCGGACGTCGGATCGGACGGTTTCGTCGTACATGTGTTTCGCGCTTAAACGGGCAGCAAGGACGACGCGAGTGTCCTCGTCATCTCCAGTTTAAAAACAAACCGATGTGCGTTCTAATGGAAGACTCACCGACACGCGCATGTCCAGCTTCAACATCTTGGAAACACTGTCGACGATCGTCAGTTTGCCTTCGTCATTCTGCGCGAACGAAGAAAAAAAGCGCAGCATTGTAAATTTCTAAGTCTCCTTTGAGAATTGGAGGCACTGTTCAAATAATTTCTCCGGTGTTTTTTTGTTTTTTTTTCTTTACAGCGGAGCTGTTAAGGGCTAGTTCCCCCAGGATCATGTCCGTCAGCAAACAAATGATGACACAGAACTCTGCACAGCTACCGCCATCTATGAGCGACTGCGGTAACCAGACAACCGGCTAGCCTGTTGTCTTGTTGCTGCCGTCGTTCCTAGATGCCGGCAACCTTTCGAGCCTTTCCACTTTGGCTTGCCGACTAGCGGCCGGCCTTTACTTCATTCCCACCATAGTACAGCTTCGCCGGTCTTCCTTCTTCACCAAAGCGGAAAGGATAAAAGTTTTTTTTTTTTTTATCCCATGGAAGCAAACACACTGGATGACTAAGCAATACACAGCCCGGGGGCAAGGAGCGTACAGCATGCAGTCGCGTATGGAAAAGCAAAGGGGAGCTCGTGGCTTAGGGGGGCTGCAGCGCTACCTAAGAGAACAAAGCTCAACCGTTATCGACTTTTCAGCGGCTGTTAAATTTTTTTCGCTACTCCTGACTTGATCAGCTGTCGCCGACTTCGTGCTGAATTCAGCGCAGAAAGGAAAAGTCAAGCGTGGCTGAAACCACTGGGTTGGCAACTCTCGAAGGCCACGTACTCGCGCCAGCGTCACTTTGCCAGCTATGAAGGAAACTGCAGCAAACGCATCGCCATCATTGCTGCAGAAAACACCGCATCGGCGTGATTTCGATATCAAAGTAACATCTTCAATTCTGGAGGATAGTAGACCTACCTCGGTCGTGTTCCCCGCGTAGGCTGAGCTGGAATAGAAACAAAACTTCCGGTTAGAGCAGTATTTCACTGTGAGACGCGCAATTCATATAAATGACTATTATTTGTTTAAACTTCAAATCTTTGCATGTTACGGGCGTTTAAGTCACAACTGAACGGAGCAACATCTGACCTTATTGCGGGCAAGGTTGGCTATAGGTTCTAACGGGTTATTTTCCGCGGGTCACCGGCTTCAACCGACTCTCTGGTCGGTTCAACAACCGGTGTCCTATGTACCCTCAGGGTGGTTCTCGATCGCTCAGAATTCCCTACGACCAACCGCCAGGCTCAAGAAGTCAGACAGCATTGCACGCTGGCTCCTGTGACGTCATCTGTAGCCACTTCGGAAGCACCTTCGATGCATGGCCGATATAGATGCTTTACAGCAGCTGTGCATGGGCGCCACCATAACCGACCTTCAGTTTTTGTTTCCTCTTATTTTTATCACTTGCCTCCATCCCTACCACAGCAGGGCAGGTTATTGCCATTCCAGATTCGACTGTGCCCTTCTCCCCAGCGTTTGCCTTTGTAGAGGCTCGCCAAAGCCCTCTTCAGTGGCTTGGTATCTCGGTAAGACAGGAGAAGGTCGGCAATGGCGGCTGAATTTGGCGCATGTGTAAATCGTCTATAGGACGCCAAACCAGTACGGAGCGCAAGTTCGTCTGCTTCTTTTGTGGGGGTTGTGGTGACGTCAGAACGTCTACCCCCGATTGGTTATGAGTGAAGGATAGTGGGTAGACCTCAAAGTAAGCTGCCTCGAGGTTTACCCACTATCCTTCCAATCACAGCCAATCAAATCTCGGCGTTCTGACGTCACCACAACCCCTGCAAAAGAAGCAGACGAACTTGCGCTGCGCATAGGCCTGTCGCCCTCGGCCAGGGGGCGCGAGCGCATTCGTAGGTCGCGACCACGCAAAACGTGTATGGAGCACATAGAGCGGCACTGCAGTGTTCGATCATGCACGAGCCACGGCGGTCGTTTATAAGCGTGTGTCAGCATCTGTCTACGCGCGATAACAAAACGTCCGGAGAAACTGCAGTACATGGTTTCACCTGAAGTCAAGACGGAGGCGACGCTGCGAGCTCATGCTAACAATCAGACAGCGTCCAAAGGGCACCACCATCGTGTTCCTTATGGTTCCGTACGTGTTCTATGACATCACTGAACCAGTCATAAACAAAACAGAAAAGATCCCCGCAACTTGCGCTGTTGACGATGCTCGATTGGTCCCCTTAGCTCGTAGCGTTGGTTACTTAAGCTAAAACAAAGTATAAAAAAAAGGTTCAACTAAACAAACAAATTCAGCTTGCTCTTCCAGTGTCCTATCGAAGCGATAAAAAAAAAAATCTTTACTTTCCAGCTTTTTTTTTTGTTCTTATTTTCTTTCGTAAATTTACACCAACCGATCAAATTTTGTCAGCTACCAACGTGAAAAAGCGTAATGACGGACGATCAAAACGGGGAAAATATTCGATTCTGCACGCGAGAGGCGTTGCACAAAACTTGAGCAGCCTCGCACCTAGAAACCGTGACGTCATCCTTAGTGGCTTCCCGACGCGCACGCCCCGAGCTCGACCGGAGTGGCCTTAAAGGGGTTCACGAGTCTGTCTCGGCTTCGCGCTCGTTGCGAGACGATGCAAGACGGATTGGCGGCGCTGCCTGGACTCACTAGCGATGACGTTTGGGGGGATAAGGCCTCGTCTTCTGGCTGGTTTCGGCTAAGCAGTAGAAAACACCCTCCAGGCACCGCAACGTTAGCGGATGTGATCGCCAAGAGCCTACCTGTGCATGAAGAAGCTCTGGACGAGACAGCCGATGGCCGAAAGAAGCAACAGCGGGAGCAGGTAGTCGCTCCAGAGAGAGTGCAGCGTCACCTTCGCAGGAAACGGACACGATTAGGGTACAGGCAGCGAGGTGTTACTCGAACACATCTAAAGCATTCTATAGTTACAAGATACCAGATGAAATTTGAGTTACGAGGTATGAGATGAACAAAAAAAATATACATGTGCACACCATTAAATCTTTGTGCACGCTACGGGCCCTGGTAGCGTGCACGGAGATGTCCGTTTCGCGGTTAAAAAAAAAAAGCTCTGTGGTAGAATGCTTCTTGTGTGGCGCTTACGCAACCTTTAGGCAACCTATTAAATCAACCAAATTCGCTAAAGGCCGACGTCCACTTCGCGCATTCCACATTTGCGCACTGTCTTCTCTACTTTTGACCTTGCCCCAACTTTGCTCCAGTACAAGTTTTTAGAAATTGCAGTGCTAAGAGGATTATCTTCCCTGGAGAAAACCGGGGGTGTACGTCGGCTTTTAAGTATAGTCTGAAAGACACGTTGTCATTGGGGCTTTGTCTAGCAAGCTTCAGTGGTATAGCATCCGTGGTGGTATTAACCTTTTATTGATAGTTAATTATGGAAATAAAGTTTGACTTTCATCCATCTCATAACAAAATGGAATGCTGTAAACACACATACACAAAACCAAAACTAAAAATATATCCGTAAAATCATGAGAAGAGTTTACACGTTGTTATAAAAAGTCTAGTTCTCCCGTGTGTCATACATGCGGCTGTATATATAAGAATATACGTATATATTCAGCATTTTGAAACCCGAGACTTTTTTTTGTCTAAGTCTCGGGTTTTACAATGTTGAAAGTTCACCAGCTCGCTTGCATCTTCTCTTCAATTTCTAATATATATTTATTTTTAATTTTTGCGTGGTTTTTAACGATAAACTGGGTTACTCAAGACGGCACCGTTGGAAATAAACCTAAACTGTAACTTAATTATAAAAAAAAAAAAAAAATGTCTGTGGTTTGTTTTGGTTTTACTCCTTGACACTTTTACAATCTCGACTCCAGAAGGGTGCTAAATGTAGACGATATTAGGTTGAACGAGTTGAAATGAAGCATCGTTTCTAAAGCGCAAACGAGACGAAACCGAACACAGGTCTTCGCCCTGTCTTCGTCGAGCAGTCCCAGGCCTCAACGAAGACGTGCGTACCAGGAAGAAGAGCATGGAGCGAACAGGGTGCTTCCAGCGGACCAGCTTGAGGTACTCGTGGTGGCCGTCCTTCAGACAGTCGTCGACGCGCTCTGTAGAAACGACAGATCGCACACGTTTGCATGCGGCCAAGATCGTTCCGGTGTCTCGGTGAATAAAGGTCTTATACTTCGTTTCAGCTTCGGTCCAGACGCAGCAAAAGCTACAAGCCCGAGCTCCGGGCTTTCAGCATCCCTGCCAAGCACGCGCGCTCGTGCAGTGCAAGAACTGTTCTGGGCCACATGCTCGCGCTTGAAGCATCGGCTGCGTCTGGACCGAAGCTGAAACGAAGTATAGTTTGCAGAAAAATTGGCTGAAAATCCCATTTGGTACTCACCGAACTTGAATAACGTTTCCCTCACGCTGTCGAAAAAAGAAAAGAAACAAAAAAAAAGTGTTAAATATGGACAAGTTTTGAAGAAAAAATATAATTTTGGGTAAACTAAAAAAATGAAAAACGTTTACAATTCTCTGTATTGCCGATTTAGAGCGCAGTTCTCGAGGAGGAGGAGGGAGGGTGCGGAGTACAGGGTATGCCCGTCTTCCTCCATACCCTCCCCCCCCCCCCTCCACTTCTGCTCTCCTCCGATTTAGCAAGAAATTTTCCCTAAATTTAGCGAAAAATTCCCCGCTAAAGTAAGCGGCGGAAAATTTTTGCGCTAAATGAAACGTCCCATAAGGCAACGCGCGGTTACACCGACGCCGGTCAACCCGGAAACGGGCGCCTAAGGGCGGCGCTCTAAAAGAATACTAATAATGTCCCCCAATGTCGCATTAAACGAATTAGCGGAGCCCGATCTCCTGAATTAAAATATTCTGCAGGGCTAGTTGGTTATACATACTAAATTACAAATAGCGCTAGGACGAGGACAGACGAAGAAGTGGAAAGGACAGGCACCTTTCGCAGTGCTTTCTTTCGGAGACGCCACTATTCACGAAAACGCTCGTGCCGTCGAAACAAAAAGAGCGCATCAAGTTCCTCCGTGCAACATCGCCGCGAAGCACCGCACAATACTTTCCGAAATTCAGTCTGGCAACTTTGATCCGTATCATCATCTGGAAAATGTCACATGTGCTATACTAATGGCGGCCTTTTGCTTACTGATGAAGAAAGAAGTTGAAGATGCTTCTAAGCAGATGATTCGAGGCCTATACATTCTTGACGTTAAAGCGACGTGGAGCAGAAATTAAATGCAAGAGTTGCGTAAGCGTTCATTTTTAACTCGGGCCCAGTCAAACTGTTAGAGAATACACCCGGCTTCAAAGTCCATTGATGTACAGCACTTTATCAAGGCGTCTATGTGGGTTGGCGCTTCGTTCTGACTGGTTGCATCTTTTTCGCCATCGAAACTGAGAGATTGAAAAAGAACTGAACAGTGAAGCGCACATTCTCGTTTACCGTTAACTTGCGAAAGTGACGGTCCCCGATAAAATACTGCAGACCACAAGATCATTCCCGCCATTAGTACGGTAAAAGTTAAACTGCCATTTGAGCCTTCAGATGGCACTGAATTCCGGAAAGGGTCTATAGCAGAACAGAAACACCCAAAGAATACCATAATAAGTGAAAAAGCAGGAAAAGATGCCTTTTTTTATCGTTACTGTTTATCAGCTCGACTGCGCGTTCGAATGCGAGATCCAAAGGCCAGACCCCCGCGTTCCGGATTTTCTACGCGTTCGACGAGTGCAGTGGAACCAACGGCTGCTAGCTTTAGGCGCACAAGAGTGACGTCGACTCACTAGGCGATGGAGAAGGCGTCGTCTGCCGACGGTGTCCTCCGCTCCTCGAGTTCCAGGCTGCTCCTCTCGGACAGGTCTTGGCGCAGGGAGAGGATCCAGCGCGGCGTCTCCCAGAGCTTGGACGAGCTCCCGGCGGCGTCCCGCTGCTCCAGCTCCTCCGTGGCCTCCTCGCACATATCCAGGGGACGCTCCCCGCTGCTGGAACTGTCGGACAAGTCCATCCCGGGCGACAGTACCATCACCGACTGGGACAGAGGGGGGCTGAAACGGTACATTCAGGTTTGTCAGGACTCCAAAAGGCACGGAGCGCAAGTTCGTCTGCTTCTTGCACGGGGGTTGCCATGATGTCAGAAGGCAAAGCTCTTACATTGACTGATTTGAGAAAAAAAAAGAAAGGAAAGTGGGTAGACCTCGAGGCATTTAACATTAATGTCTACTTCCTATGCTTTCAATCAAAGCCTCCGCAAGAAGCAGACGACTCGCTCTCCACATACAGCAGTGTTGGTGCCCACAAGACGCCAATACGGGCCCAGCGCAGTGAAGAGGAGACGCCACATTCGGCTACCTGACAGAACGGCTGGATCCGGAAGCCAAATGGATGACCTGTTTTGAACTCTCCGTCAAGCGTGCTGAGGCGCGATAGCGCTTGATGGGGTTTTTAACGAGCAGCGCACTTCCTATCAGAATTTAGTGAATAATTTTTTATCCGCTAGCGGTGAAATTCTGGCATTACGTCACATGACGCTGTGACGGCACGTGACACAGTGATGTCGCGTGGTATTGTGACATCCTTCGGTAAGACCAACAGGAGCGAGAAAGGTGCGTGGAGGAACCCCCATAATGAACGAATAAAACGTGTCTTCCTTAATTTTAAACTAGCACGAGCTCATCGCTTGCCCCGCGGCATTTATGGGAAAGGTGCGATAAGAATAAATAAAAGCAGTCCCGAATAACTATTGCTTTAAAAATTAGAGGGGCAGCAGCAGTATACTTGCAACCACCTACCACTGAACGATCGGACACAAGGGGTGCGTCATGGATCAGCGAAACGCGAACTAGATTACGCTATTTAAAGCTCTGGACCTACCCAGTGCCCACTTCTCCAGTGTATGTGAAAAACGCGTGATGGTAACCAGAGTTTTATGCAAGTTTTCTCGCACACTAGATGACTCGGATTATCCTCGAGCGATAGTAGGCAGCTCTTGGACTTCCTAGAAAATACACGTGTCCAGTTGTGGAGTGTGTTCCACGGGAGCAAAATCCCATGACTTGACAACCTATTCACTCGTTTTTTCTTACATGTTCCTTACACCTGCGTTAGATTAAGCAGTCAGCTCTGCCACATAGCTTCATGTACGCAGATGAAGTTCGAATTCTGGAAACGAGGTGACGCTTTCAGAAATACCCAAACCACAGAAAGCTTAAATTTTCCAAAATGATCGAGGATCAGGGAACAGCTTGCGGTACCTTTTGACGAACGTTCCACGCAGCCGACGTTTGATGCTCAGCTTCCGCCCCTCTTCCTCCTGAGAAATCATGAAAAGCGGACATCGATAAAGCCGACAGGTTGCACCCACCTCAGAGTCTCTCAAAAGTGCCTTCATACACACGCGCGCTTTTGCTTAAGTGGCGACATATCAACCATTCTTCCGACAAATCGTTTTTTTTTTCTGCATTTTGAAGCGCGTGCAATCGGGTGTCAATCAGCTCGAGCGCGAGCTTTGGCAACACTGTACTTTGGCTAATGCATAAACGCCATTTTACCGCCCAAGTCACGCACGGAGTGCGCGAGAGCGTCACGCGCTGGCACATTCAGGGCAGCAATGGATGTGTTCATCCTCAGAAAGACAGACATGTAGCCACCCTAAGTGTCCCCCTTTCGGCCGATCATGGAATATTCGAATCACGCGCTACACGCTGCTTTTGTGATATGAAAGTTTTCCCTCGCTGTAGCACGGTTATACTCGAACTCCCAATTTATGTTCCGCAGCATACATTTCGCACTACCGAATTTGTTATCGGCAAAAGCAAGTAGGAGTGAAAAACATCATGCTGCGACCACGTCACGTGCGAGCCACGTAAATTATACATAAAATACCTATCAAACAAACGCAGGCGGCCACAAGGGTGGAATGAGTTATCCATTCAAAGTGACAAATATATGCAAAAACTTCCTTCTCTTCTCCTTTTTTTTTTTTTTTTTTTTGGGGGGGGGGGGGGTGGTCATTAAAAGCAAGCATCAGTGTATACGACACATGAAGTGAAACATCCAGAAATAGCGTCGAAAACTGCATATATATATTTTTTTACGTAGGTCTGTTCGTGTCACCTCAGCGACACCTACGCGAGTCAGTGAAGAGATGAAGGAGTGGCCCCAAGAAAGACGCAGATCCATCTCGCTCACCTTGCTGTCCTCGCGCTCTTCATCCAAATCCTTGTGGGTGCGTTGGCACGTGCCGAAGCTCTTCTAAACAGAAGCGAGAGGAGAGAGAGCTTAGGGGCACAGCACTCACCAACAACTTGTCAAGTACACCGCGTCACTCTGGACTAATGCTCCACTAACTCGATTGGGAATGCACCCGCCTAGCCGAACATTCAAGCTTGGACATGACAAATAGCGACACTCTGTCAACTTCTAGGCGTTGGTGGATCGCCAAAAGGTTCTTTCACAGCCGCCATGGACCGCCTCCGTGGCGTATGTCTAGGCCGCCCGAGCGCAGAGGGTAGGGCTTCAACCCTCTGCGGAGGAATGTGTGGGGCATCGCTCATTGATTCGGTTGCTTTGAATGAACGAATGAAGTTTATTTGACATCCAAAAATGTCGGGGAGGGAAGGAGCGAAAGATTGCCGGAGCTGCCTGACGTTACAACAGACCGAGCAGCAATATTCAAATCATACATACATTAAAATGTACATACATATACATCATGCACCTGAATGCACTAGTAATATCTTTTTTTTTACTCAAGTTGAAAATATTTTTTAGTCAGATTAGGCCTAAATGAAACAAAGTGGGATGAAGTGGGATCGTCGCAACATACGTATAGTATGTTGCGACGAAAGAAGTGCAGGAGAGGCTTCGCCCACAGGAAAGAAATCTCGCGACAATCAGAGGGCGCTGTTGGATACCCCTTTCTGTGACGTCGTAAAACTGCCGCGTTCGTACCGGGTGACTCTCTTGGGTTTTGGGGGCGGAGCATCTCCAGCAGTTCTTACGCTGCGGCAGACTGTAAATACGCAGCTCGTACATGATCCAAAAGACGCGATGTTCGCTGGAGACACGATGACATAATTGTCTGCGCTTCATACATGTTAAAATCATGTTTGCTTTATGTGTTTGTGTGCTTCGAACATGTCCGCAGTGTCTTTTGCATGATGCATTACCAGTGTCCAACTCTCTGCGGCTGGCCCTTGAAGGGTCTACTTTTTAAGTACTGATGCTATTTCAATGAAATTGACAGAGTATACTAGGCACGCAAACTTGGGAGGCTACACCAACTTTCAGCTGAAAAGGTCAATTTCGTGCCAAGTTACAGCCTCATATGTCAAATATATTGTACAACTAGTAGTGCCAAGGGGAAAAAAAAAACTCGTTTAAAAACAGTACCAAAATGTCACAATTTGTTCGCTTGGATGTAAGAACGAGTGACTAGACTAATCGGCAGTGGATTTCAAATAATTTTAAGTGCCATATTTAGCGTGAAAGTAAACTTCAAAAAAGGGGTTGATTTCACTCTTTTTTTTTTTACTGTTACAAAAGTCGACACTTTCTCCCTAAAGAAATAACAATCTTGAAAAAGTGAGCGCATAGTCGAGTTCTCCGGTACATTTCCCCCCAGAAAAACCGCACAGCAGTTAGAAAGGTACTTCAGTCATCGATCGATAGTTTTTGAGAAATTAAAGAATGGTCAAAGCATGAAGCTGAGGAAAACACGTTTGAAAATCCATATTGTGTTCCACTTTAGATGGCACTTGCCACTTGACCTAATTGGGTTGTGTTTCTGCTAATACAGTCTAGAACTTGGTCTGCCTCGACGGGCGACGAATCTCCCAGCTGTAGATGAGCAATTGAGCCGGACAACCGCTAGCCTGGGGGCACCACGCAATAGCGATACACGACCGCACGCCGGTACGATGCTCATCCAGTTCGAAACGGGCAGGGGTGGGGATTGAGCCCAGGATCCCTGGGTTCTGCAGGGCGAGCTTTCGCTCCACGTGCTCCGAGCTGGTGTGCGCTAACCAACTCGGCCACCGATCCCCCTCCACCTGACCTAAAATGCTCCAGGAGCGTACGTCAGTCTGTCTCTATTGCCCTTCTGTGCTTTGGCCACAGCTTTTATCTTTTGCCTCTTGCGCGATGCCTCGAAGGACTCGAGTGCATTGGGCCTTTGCAACCTTCATCCGAGTGACCTTCACGGCCTGTGATGTCTGGTGGCTCCCTGGGTCAAAGCTCATCCCCAAAAGAACTTTCTCAAAGCCTCGAGGACCCAAGTTGAAGACTGCGAGAGACACGGCACACTCGACAGTTTTTGTGCATCTAGTTGCACTATAATTTGATTCCTCCCACCTTTCTGAGCCAATTTTCTCCTTTGGATCGTGAGATCGCTGATATAATCGAGAGAATGAAGTTAACATGCTTGCCCAGTGAATTGAAGCTTGGTGTCCACTGGGAAAGCGGTTGCCTGGAGCATCTATTCCGAGCATTTTATTATTGTTCCGAACATTAACACATAAAAAAAATGCACCTAATGTCCTGAGCATCGAGATCGCTTATATTCATTTTTAGCGTAGAGACTCATTGAAGAAGAAGGCACTATTGGCGACGTGAGCGATCGAAAGCGTCGCTGTGGTCAGCCCAGCCCAATTGGCCGAATGCTGACTATGACGTCAGCAAATGATGACTCATCGACGTAAATAAGAGGAATGTAAGAAGTTCAATTTTGACGGTGTTGGCAGTGTTGCTTTGAGAGCGATCAGATTTGAGGCTTCCACCTGCTCATTACAAACACCATTGAACTTGTTGTTTACAAGGTAATGACGTCACGAAAGGTAAGCAAACGAGGGCGCCACCGAAACATCTCGCCGCTAATAGTACTCGTTGCCTAAAAAATATAATTGCAATAAGTCACGCATTAAAGAGCGTTAGACTAATTTCTGGAGCAACAGTTCACTAAAAGATTGGAAAATACTTTGTCGAAAAATCCACTTATGACCATTCAAAGGCCGGTTTCACACATACAGCGAAGCGCAAAGTTAGCACTACGTGAACGCTCGAAGGAGCGCTCATGTGGCGCTTTCCCAGCGCTTCAGCAGCGCTCTGTTAGCACTTCAGAAGCGCTTTGTTAGCGCTACAGAAGTGCTTTGTTAGCTCTCTCACGCTCCTTGTGCCATGCTTGCTGCTGCGGAACAGCGCGTGCACGGCGATTCCTTTGTTGTTCTTCTTTTGGCATTGAAAGAAGAGGAAGTAAAACAGCCGCTCTCCAAGCAAAGGGTCGGGCAGGCGATCCAGAGTCAAGGACTCTGAGCGACTAATTGATTGGGTACGACCTCATCGCTTTCTATTCGATATGCGTGACCCTGGTTTCAAAGACACGCACTTAAAAATAATCGCCTTCGAAAGACCTCTGTGTCTCGGTCCCTCAGCGTGGGAACAAGGTTCGCCGAGTACCCGTCGGTATCTCGGCGGCGAAAGATTTCGCGCACCCAGAAGGCTCTTCTGCAGCGTTAAGCCGTCCACACATATATGCACTAATCGCGTATGTAAGAGCATTTGTCGCATTTCTATTTCAGCATCCCACATGTCCGCCATGGAGCTGCTGACGCACACCCAACCACAGGAACCCTGAACCGCAGTGCACGGGCCAATCCGCAGCATCGTGGTACAAGAAGCGCTAACACGTCGCTACTGGAGCGCTAAGAAGGCGCTACAGAAGCGCTAATCGCGCGCTATGTTAGAACTAAGTCACGCACTAGAAAGCGCCACATGAGCGCTCCTTGGAGCGCTCACGTAGTGCTCCGCTGTATGGGTGAACAGGCCTTTATTCTAAACCCGGAATACGCATTTAGCCGAAAGCTTGTGCCCGATTAAAGGATTACGTTTTGCAATGCCTGCACATTGCAAAATGTAGGCATCGTCCTCCTGCTTTAACCCCAAATTTGTGAGTTATTTATGTCTTGAGAGGAACGCACGGGTCATCGGTCAGAAAGTCGTTTCCTCAGGTCGGCAGCAAATAAGCGCTAGCTCTAAGCAAACCCAGTTCTCCAAAACCCACAGGATGTAAACCATGTCAAAAATCGCTCTGTAAGATAGCCGACAGCTAACCATACACAACACTTGCGAATTTCAGAATTGACCGCATGTTAGGGATTGAAAAAAAAAAATACTAATTAGCAAAATATTTCACTGAGACTGACTAATGAACTTGCAGGCCAGCGATGCGAAATCGCAGATGATATTTTTATCCCTCGCGTTTTAGCATGGCCGGCCTTGCGCGTGCTGCACAAATGGTTACTTTAGTGCACTTCCGCGCTTGCCACTATCAGGTCAAATCGACCTAAAATTGACTGATTTCGGAATTTTTGAAGACGTCCAGCCCTTTCTTTAATTGCAACCATGCGTTCATACTCACTAATTAATATAATTGGTCAATTTAAATACGTTTTCGCCAATCCCCGACGTCCGCCGTTAGCTAAAAAATTATTCCCAAGAAAAAAAAGTCAGTCATTTTAATTTTAAAAATTATAGAAAATATTCCCAGAAGCACCCGATACATCTTCAAGCTGACCGGATAACCTCTATACGGACAGAGCAATGCAAAATGCGCGGCCAAAAACTAACCGACCAGGGAGAGGCGATACGCGGCGAAAGCGGCAGGCACAAATGCAGCAGCGAGCAGACTGCAATGACGCACCTTAGGATCGCAGTGAACTCTGTTGTTGCGGGGATATCCCCAAGAAAAACTGACAAGGAAGTCGGAATGCGCAGCTTACAGACGAGACACCAGAGGCATATATACGTATAGTTTCCGTAATCCTGGGTGCATGAAACTTTCCTCGGGTTTCTTGCGAGTTGTCACAGTGCTTTGCTATTTCCTGTTCCAGCTGTTGCGCAAAACAACGAGCTAACAAGTAGTGGCAAATCCTTGGCGATGAAGCGTAGGAAGCCAATGACGGTGTACGCATGACGTTGCACAAAATGTGTCGGGCGCCTTCCTTGCCGTTACTTATAAGACTCGGAGATTTTTCTAATTAGCCGAAAGACGCAGTGTTCCTCCGTATAGTGCGCCTTATCATGCACCGTCGATTGTCCTTACGTGTCAAAGGTGTTGTGCACTATCGAGAAGTTTTGTTTCCGCCTAAACAGTGAGTTCGCACTTATGGGCAGTTGGTTGCGTCGAAGGTTTCAAAGGAGATATTATATCAGCACCGTGAGCGTACTGAACACCTCGTAATATCTCACAATCTATC